CTGTTGAAAGCGGCGTTAACTAAACTCACTTACTCACTCCTCCTACGTGTATATGTCACTTCGTAAGGAAAAGGGCATGTATCAGTGTCCTGATCCTCAATATGACTGGACCTTTGGCCGCATCGTGTAAACAGCTGTATGTGTCGTTAATGCAGAGCCACAGATATGCCAGTCCATTGACACAACGTCTGTACACAGGCTCAGACACTCGTCCGGAGTTCACGGACGGGGTATCAACCTCTGAACCTGTGTCCCGTGTGGTGATCTCGGCTCAGACGACCCAAAAACCTATGCTTGTAGTACGAGGTGTCTAAATGGTGGAGTGAGGTAAAATAGAGTTTAACGTCGCGTTTAATGTATTGCACTTATATAGCGACGTACATGTATGTGTGTGAGCGAGCGTGTGTGTGGCTGCTTGTACTGTAATAGTCCGGACAAATGTCGGTTTTACAGTGCTAACCCAGTCAGATACCATACAGCAGTTTAACATGACTACAAGGGGTGATTATTGGTCTGGAAATCACTATTGCGATAACTATTGATATTGCAAGCAACTATTGCGATAAATATCCGATTCGATAGATTTCAGTGTATCATTTTAGATGGATTTTAGAGTTGAATTAAACCTTGGAACTGAAGTTTCCTTTGAATGTGATAACCATAACAACAAATTAAAAGTAAGGTTTGAGATATGATTGATTTGTTTTTTCTTTACCCAAATAATTTAAGAAAAAGAAACTTACCATGTGTAAATTACTACCACTCATGATCAAAAGAAAACAAATTTGAACAGCATTGCATGTGTTTTATTGATATCGTAAATACATTCCCACCTATCGATATTCCTAACTGAAACTGATTTAACAATCGATAAATTGACTTAAGTGCTTACCAATAGCAACATATCGATATTTCGGTTTATCGTGACACCCCTAATGAATACCCCGGTCAGACACTTGTACAGTATACAGATCAGTTCTATTTTCTTGTTCCCTTATTCCACTCTCCTGGCAGAGGGTCTATCCACTAGACTACGGAAGCAGTCAGCCTAAACGGTTTAATGGATGAATTTTATTTTACAGATTTTCAATGTGCTTTGTTTTGATCAGTGACAGAGAAAATTACAATACTCTAAACGTTATACGCTCGGATGAGCCACACTGAAGTCGCTCTCGCGTGTTAACAACATACAAGAAGCATTTATGAACAAACTAACAAATATAGAAATCCTTGTAAATTCACGATGACACCATGTCTATGCGAAACTGATGACTATTTCCTGCACTAGCGAGAGTACACGACGTCACGACAGAAGCTACGATGCAATATGCTTACGTCTAGTTTTCATACTTAGGAACAAAAACCTCAAACTGATTCGTTGTTGGCACCAATTAACCCTCCATGTGAGGGGACTAACGGGATCGGGTGGCCAGACTCATGAACTTGGTTGATGAATGTCCCCACTGTGTAGCTCAATGCGCATGATAATGATCGCTGGATTGTCTGATCCAGACTCGATTATTTACAGACCGCCGTCATATATATAGCTGGAATATTGCTGAGTGCGACATTGAACAGCAAACACCAACAAATATATCTATGTACCTATAACTAAGACCAGATAAAGCAATGCCAACAGTGACCTTACATTATATGCACGATCACAATGTTCCCATCGTGGTTACATTACGTCGCAGAGTGACGGAGACACTATTCTGGAAGTCGGTTTTAGCATTCAATACACGCATTAGTGACATAATAGCGTCGCATCATTAACATGTACAATGCCCTGTTCCATAAAGCAGTCTACGACTGTCCTCGATCTTTGCTTAAGTATGGGTGAGGTGAAATGGGGTTTAACGTCGCGTTCAAGATTATCGAATCATACAGCGACATGCATGTGTGTGTGCGCGTGTGTATGTGCATGCGTGTGTGTTCGTGTGAGTGTGCGTGCGTGCAGGTGGCTGTCTGTTCTAGTCCTGACCTATGCCGGTTTAATAATGCTAGGCCAATGAAATGACATGACGCAGTTTAACATGGATACCCCTCTCAGTATAATGACTCCGTGCCGGCTTGTTCAAGTGCCATAGAGAGTAACAAGTACCATCTTTTAGTGTCTAAACCAGGGTATCGAACCACCGACCTTCCGCTCTCCGGGCAGACACTCTATCGTACAGTAAGGGTGTTCGCTTGGAGAAACAGGGTCACTACTATCTGACAGTGCACTTTTATACCAATTGTACAGTGATGTTAAATGTAACTTTACATATTAAGTCCGTAAGGGCCAATTTCAGTCTAACTTTCATGTCTTCAAGGGCAAAGCTATTTTCGAGTGCAATATCATTTCAGAAGCTTTAGGTCTGCCATTAACTGCCCCACAAAGAACATCAGGGCAGGTCCTTTTCGGTGCTTTGAGGTACATATGTAAATTATAGAAAATTCGCTTCGTCATGAGTGTCGCGTGGTGACAAAAATGATCTTAATGTTATATTTTCTGTTTATACTTGACATAAAAAAACATGTATAAAAGTTCTTTGTTTAAAACGTTAAGCCGACAGGGTTTGTACGTCCACGAGCTTCAAAAACTGTCATCGGAGGGATTTCAACATGCACCTTTAGGACGCATAAAAGATACATAAATCTTTCATTTAGTGTATTACGAGTACAGTATGAGGTTAAATATGTCAAGGCATTTGAACACCATTTCCGTTCATATTGTAGGTACCAAATCCACCTATAGGCGCTATTTTAATTTTTGGGGTTACGATTCCGCAGATAAAAAATATAACAATTTTGAAATATAAGTTCTCAATAATGACTAATGTCCAAAGGTTCAGTAAAGAAACCGTTTGACTTGTCATGAAGTAGTGTTTCTTTTCTATCTGATAAGGTAAGCAGTGTCAATATCTCATTTTACAAGTTAAGTTGTACTCATTTCCCGTATGACGAGTGTTCATTTGTCTTTATATCAAGTTCCGTTGTTTTCATTTTCTTTCAGACAAGTTACTTTGTGTTCGCTTCTTAAAAGATGAGTCACGTTGTGTTCATTTCCTATATAACAAGTCATGTTGTGATCATTTCCTATATAACAAGTCATGTTGTGTTCATTTCCTATATAACAAGTCACGTTGTGTTCATTTCCTATATAACAAGTCATGTTGTGTTCATTTCCTATATAACAAGTCATGTTGTGTTCATTTCCTATATAACAAGTCATGTTGTGTTCATTTCCAATATAACAAGTCACGTTGGGTTCATTTCCTATATAACAAGTCATGTTGTGTTCATTTCCTATATAACAAGACATGTTGTGTTCATTTCCTTTATAACAAGTCATGGTGTGTTCATTTCCAATATAACAAGTCACGTTGTGTTCATTTCCTATATAACAAGTCACGTTGTGTTCATTTCCTATATAACAAGTCATGTTGTGTTCATTTCCTATATAACAATTCATGTTGTATCTATTTCCTCCATATTAACAATTTACATTCTTTTCATTTTCTTTGAGACAAGTTACTGTGTTCACATCTTAAAAAGCGAGTTACAGAGTGTTCATTTCCTACATGACAAGTTAATGTGTGTTCTCATCTTAAAAAAATGAGCAACAGAGTGTTCAATTCATGCATAACAAGCTACACGTGTTCATATATTAAAAATGAGTTACAGTGTTCAATTCATGCATAACAAGCTACACGTGTTAACATCTTAAAAATGAGTTTCAGAGAGTTCAGTTCCTACATGTCAAGTTACTTTGTGTTCAATTCCTACATGACAAGTTATTGTATGTTAACATCTTAAAAAATGAGTAACAGTGTTCAATTTCTACATGACATTTTACGATGTGTTCACAACTTTAAAAATGAGTTACAGAGTGTTCACTTCCCACATGACAAGTTACGTTGTGTTCACTTCCCACATGACAAGGTACGTTGTGTTCACTTCCCACATGACAAGTTACGTTGTGTTCACTTCCCACATGACAAGTTATGTTGTGTTCACTTCCCACATGACAAGTTACGTTGTGTTCACTTCCCACATGACAAGTTACGTTGTGTTTTTTGAATTCCCATATTGCACTACAGATGTCAAATTTCCTTCAGACAAACAATCTCATTCTTCAACACATGAAAGACAATACCTACAAGCGTTGATCTTAGTTTGATGACTGGTAGTATGTGCCCTTATGTTTTGTGTACGGACACATAAATGTATGCGCGCTGAATGCCAAAGTCCCGCGGATGATGGTAGAATAAAACTCATGTTATGGTGAGGTGAGGTGAGGTGAAATGGGGTTTACCGTCGGGTCCACAAATATTTCATGCACGAATGTGTGTGTGTGTGTGTGTGTGTGTGTGTGTGTGTGTGTGTGTGTGTGTCTGCTTATTATAGCCCGTAATAATGCCGATTTCATATACTGAGATACCCCACTCAGACACAGTATACGGACTCCAAGCCGACCACTCCTTGATTTAGCCCCTTAATGCCGACTGGGTCACAAGAAGTACAACCGTTTAACGTCATTTGAAATGAAGCAGGCGGACGCTTTACCATTAGACCACGGACGCATGTTATGGTATATACTAATGTAAAGGAAACAAATAGCACGTACAATGTAGATGTACACGTTTAAGTTTCTTTCTTCATTTGGCGCAGATGTGTATGTTTGCGCAGGTTCATCATAGGTAAAATAAACCTATATAAACCGTTACAAATTTGACTGAAAAAGTAGACAAGGCGCATCAGTATAAATGATTTTAATTCCACAGCAAATGACAATTTGTTTCAAGAAACTTTACCACAGAACAAGATACCATCGGGTATTAGTTGAGTGAGTAGATTAGCCTTCCATTGCAACTACTGACCATAGTGAGTTTAACGCCGCTTTTAACAGTATTCCAGTTATACGGCGTGTCAGCTTAATGTGGGAGGAAAGCCCGAAGTGATGCAGGTCTCAGACATTTACCACTTCGGTGAAACACATGAGTATGGCGCTGACAAACCTTGAAACATAATAGGGGCGAACTGGGATTCGAACCCACAATCATAGGTTTCTGGCGTGCCCAAAGGAACTTAACCCCGCACAGCGATTCGCGGCGCCTTTCCCGTGTCCCCCTACTGACCATATGTGACCATGTAAGTGGTTAAACAGTCACACAAATGCCCTTCATGGGCACCTGTCATGACACAAAAGTTCATAATCCGGGTCCTGTGTAGAATATGTCCCCAGCACTTTATTGCTTGGCGACTAAACTGGATTAGTTGGTCAGGTTTATTGGCTTGGTCAAGTGCTTGGGACGATGCTCACAACATCAACCACTTGTTTCGTTGGCCCTGACTCAATTACTTACAGACCGCAATAATATATAAGAAAATTGCTGACTGTGGCAACACATGAAGGCAAACAAATAACATGAAACAATTTTACAGTAAGTACACATGTAGGGTCATTTCTGTGTTAAGAAAGAAACGCATTTTTTTCAAACGTGTTGATTTTTTTCCCTTTAGTAGTGTCAAGCAAAAAAAATAGATATTGTATGCAAAATCACAAATCACGTTTACACAATTATTTAAATATTAACGAAGTCATGAATCATTTCCTTGTTATTCGCCTTTAATATATATTTTAAGCACGATCTTAAATCAACATGACGTGTCCGTAATGATATTTGCGATAGAAGATAGCAATGTTCATAGAAAAATCATGAAAAATTAATTAATTGTGAGTATATTAATTGGCAAAGAAACATTATCTGGGAAACATGCATGTGCTTCAATACATCCATTTTCATCATCCCGCACTAAATGTTAGCGAAATTTATTCACTGCTGAGCTGTTGCAGAATTGCCTTGCAGAAGTCAGGGAGGTCCTGTGGTATTCTCGAGGTGATTAAATTCCCATCAACCACAACTGGTGAGTCCTCGTAAACAGCGCTGAAATGACACGCCCATATATCAGTGAAAACATGTATCATAACTTTCTTTGGGGTTCTCCCATCTAAAAACTATCGTCGCTCAGCAACCATTTTGACCACCTAATCACCCTTAGCGGACTGTAGCGACCGAAAATTGTTTCGGTTACTGATTCAAGAAGTACACATTTCTTTTCAGGACATGCAGAATGTATTGTAAAGATTTCCATGTCTTCTCATGTCATACGACTGATTTAATCGCAGAGAGCCGTGAGAGGACATGGCCACTTGTTAGTGAGTTTGAGTTACGGTCATTTGTTGAGGCATCGCAGTTAATTCAAGGTGTGTCATGAGGAGAGGTTGAGGTTTGTCCCTTGGTGAAACCTTCAAGAACCAAGTGGCGACTCCGGAACAGAACATCTGTCCCCGGAAACCCATGCTTGCCGAAAGAGGCGAACACATGGACTGGGTCAGTCTCGGCTTAGTTGATGGCATGTCATGGTATCAAAATTCCGCAAATCGAAGCTCATAATGTCAATCTCTAGAATGTCTGGTCGGGTCTCGATTATCAACAGTCATACAGCTAGAATATTGTTGAGTAAGACGCAAAAACCAAACAGACACGAAAGCTACAAGAATATGTGGTTCTGTCAAACCATGCGTTACGCTGCGTTATCTTAAGTTGATTATTATCATGATTATCATGGCTTTCAATGTTACTACAATGTGTAGGACCGACCAGTGCTCATGCGACGGTAAATGTGAACTTACACTTCAAAGCGTGGATCATCACAAGATTTTACTTCAGCAATAAAATTAAAATTGCACACCTTAGCTTTGCTTGTATGTTGTTTAACGCCGCACTCAGCAATATTCCAGCTTACGACGGCAGTCTGTAAATAATCGAGTCCGGACCAGACAATACAGCGATTAGATTAGATCACAAGCCGCGTCATACCAAAGATGGAACTTGTTATTTCCCTGACTGACGCTCGGCATTAAGGGAATAAACAATGACTGGTCGGCTCGGAGTATACTGTCTGAGTTGGGTATTCATGTTCAACTGCGGCATGGGATCTCAGTGTGCTAGCACTATAAAATCGGCATCAGTCCGGTCTTGTACACTGAATATGTGCGACGTAAAACCCCATTTTACATCACCTTGTAACGTTTGGCGTGTAATGTATCTCGGGGCTCGCGTGCTACAAACCATTAAACATAAATTGCAGCTGACGGGAACACGTATCATCTCCACTTTGTGTGCTTTGACCCTGTCTAATGTTACCTCCTCAAAGGAACAACTGGCCCAAGACTCAACATAATGTTCTAATGACTGAACAGTAAACACTCGAGATGGTATATCCGTGATCTGCACAACAGGTCGACTTAAACAGCATATATGCCATTTATAGTTTGAATGGACATTATGAAACATACACATGTCATAGCAATACAATAACACATAGCTTCGAACATAAATTTTAGTTAGGGCTGTGCCGTTACACTGGTGTAAGGTTCATATCACACAGTGCATGTATGTACTGACTGGTCCTCAATCACATATTGCTTGTGAAGTGGTGAGTGCAGAGAGGTGCATGTCAGTTAAAAAACATAATTACCTATACCTGTAGACGTTAATGGGCAATATAGGTGACTTTGAACAAGACAATCCAGTGATTGATATGAGCAGTTGGGGACACCAAGTACAGGGCTCACACTTTCTACCCATTTTGGGAATCGAACCAGGTCTTCGGTTTGAGCCAATGATTAAACCACCAATAGGTATTCAGCAACCTATGATTGTCGTAAAAGACGACTATGCTTGACGTTAAAGCGACTAACGTGATCGGGTGGACAGGCTCGCTGACTTGGTTGAAGCATGTCATCGTATTCCATTTGCGTGAATCGATGCTCTTGATGTCAATCACTGGATTGTCTGGTCCAGACTCGATTATTTACAGACCGCCGTCATTTAGCTGGAATATTTCTGTGTGCGGCGTTAAACAACAAACAAACAAGCAAAACCCAACGCTAATTTGGTAGACAAGGCTGGAAAAACATGACAGCATGTCATTTGACTGTGGACCGCCTCCGTGGTCTAGTGGTAGAGCGTCCGCCCGGAGAGCGGAAGGTACGGGGTTCGATCCCTGACCGCGTCATACCAAAAGACGTTAAAGGATGGTACTTGTTGTTACCCTGTCTGGCGCTCGGCATTAAGGGGCTAAAACAAGGACTGGTCGGCTCGGAGTCAGTATACTGTGTCTGAGTGGGGTATTCATGTTAAACTGCGGCATGGTATCTCAGTGTGCTAGCACTATAAATCGGCATCAGTCCGGACTAGTAGAAGCAGCCACACACACAAGTGCAATAATCTTGGACGCGACGTTAAACCCCATTTCACCTCACCATTTCCAGTCAGTATATGTCAACCGTTCCAGTTACGAAACACGGGGATGAAAAGACCTTATCAGAACACATTAATGACCTTAGCTTGTACTGTGATGACACGGGGTTATACATGATTCATGAAGTGAAATGTCAAAATATTAAATATGAACTTTCATTAGAGCAGAGCAAGACACCTTGTGCTACACCTGGATACACCCCTGACGTGACTTATAAAGCTGAGGGCCTGTCTCTATATCTCATCGTAACAAGAACAAGTATGTATGTATGTCAGTCTAAATGAAATATACCTCGTTTGTGAACTTCTGGGGTCCTTGTTCTTGTATCTTCCTATACGTATTCGCGGCAGGTGGAAAGGGTGTATTTTTGAGGATTGGGTACGAGGGAGGAATAAAGACGAATTAATATGCCACATTTTGATGGGGGGGGAGAAGAGTCCATTTTGACGTCCGGCCCCGGTTCAAGAAAACGAGTTGTGTTTACAAGGGGGAGAACAAAATGAGTAAGCGACTAAGCACAATAAGCACACTTCACTTTCTGTAAGGTGAGCTTATAACACCATAGTAGATCGAAGGCAACATGATTTACATGTCGCGGCGTCAGAATCATACTGTTCTATCGACTGAATTGGGTCAAATTGAGTTATTGGTACCGTTGGAAAGCGCAGGTTCTGATCTTTCCGGCTGTGCAAAAAATATTCTCAGTTGATCAATAGTAAAGCCAAAATTCACAGAATTATTTTGTTCTATCAAGAAAATGACACTTAAATTTAGTCTTAAAGTGTTCCGTGTTTCCTGACCAATGAGGGAGGAATAAAAACGAATTAATATGCCACATTTTGATGTCAGGTCCCCGTTCAACAAAACCTTTTTTGAGGGGAGCACATTGTTTACGGGAGAGGGTAAAACGAAATATTGGAAGGGGTGGGGGGGGGGGGGGGGGGGGGGGGGGGGGGGTCACACAACGAGTATTGTTTACGAGGGAAAGAGAAAAAGAGAATTGTTTATGAGGGAAGGAAAAGTCGAGTATTGTTTACGAGGGAAGAAAAAAACGAGTATTGTTTTCGAGGGAAGGGGAAAACGAGTATTGTTTACGAGGGAAGGAGAAAACAGGTATTGTTTACGAGGGAAGGAGAAAACGGGTATTGCGTGCACGAGGGAAGGGGTAAGCGAGTATTGTTTACGAGGGAAAGAGAAAACGAGTATTGTTACGAGGGAAGGAGAAAACGAGTATTGTTTACGAGGGAAGGAGAAAACGAGTATTGTTTACGAGGGAAGGGGAAAGCGAGTATTGTTTACGAGGGAAGGAGAAAGCGAGTATTGTTTACGAGGGAAGGGGAAAGCGAGTATTGTTTACGAGGGAAGGAGAAAGCGAGTATTGTTTACGAGGGAAGGGGAAAGCGAGTATTGTTTACGAGGGAAGGAGCAAAAGGTGAAGCATATTGCTTATGAGAAGAAGAGTCCATTTTGACGTCTGGCCCCGGATTAACAAAACGAGTTGTGTTTACAAGGGGGAGCACAAAATGAGTAAGCGACTTACAAGCACAATACGCACACTCCACTTTCTGTAAGGTGAGCTTATAACACCATAGTAGATCGAAGGCAACATGATTTACAACTCTCACCCAGCATTCTCCACGTCGTCTTTGATAGCATGGAAGCAGGTTGCTCGTTTCCCTTTCAAGATCTTGGCCGAGCAGAACATCCAGGCACCGTGACATATGGACGCCACTGGCCTCCCTGGCAAAGAGAAATAGATTTGTTATAATCGGAGCCGGATTCGAACCATGACAAGCGGATCCTATGGCGTTAAGGGATATAACTCTTATCAGCGACAACTTCGCCTTAGTCCACTTGACACCCATTTTCTTTTTCAGTTTGAGTAAATACGCGACACGACTTTGTTTGGCATAGAATCATGCATACACACTGTTTGTTTGTTTGTCGTTTAACGCCGCACTAAGCAATATTCCAGCTATAAGACGGCGGTCTGTAAATAATCGAGTCTGGGCCAGACAATCCAGGGATTGATATCATGAGTATCTATCCACCCAATTGGGATACGATGACATGCATCAACCACGTCAGCGAGCCAGACCACCCGATCCCGTTAGTCGCCGCTTACGACAAGCGAAGTTGCCCTTTACGCAGGCATGGGTTGCTGAAGACCTATTCTACCCCGGATCTTCAGGGTCTGTGCACATATAAAACAATAGTCTTTACAGGTATAGGGAAGTATATTTTCAAACTGGTGGGAATTCCTCGTAAGAATTTAGATTCTAAGCAACTATGCTTGTCGAAAGAGGCGACTGAACGGATCGGATGGTCATGTCGGCTTCGTGCTTTTAACACAAGGCGCACTCTTGACCCTATATCTGTCATCAAACGGCTAGACCACATATGGATCGAGTGGTCAGGCTCGTTGATTTGTTAATGATGTCAATCACTGAGTTGTATCCTATAAAGCCTTAAAAAGGCCGCTTTATGATGTCAGAAAAGTTTATTAAATGTGAAATTAATACACACAAAAGATCCCATTTCTGTAAAATATTACTCAATCTTGATAAGTATCTCTTAGATAAGCTGAGAAAACTTGTCCCCATTGTAGACACCCTGTACCAAGTACAATAGCATGGATCAAGGGCCATAAATCTGTAAAGAATAATTTACGGCACTTATTGTCGAACTCAGTCTTGACAAGTGTCTCTTACATAAGCATGCACACTTTCGTTCATGCAAGGTCGATTTAGTTTGTTTGTATGTTGTTTAACGCCGCACTCAGCAATATTCCAGCAATATGGCGGCGGTCTGTAAGTAATCGAGTCTGGACCAGACAATCCAGTGATTGACAACATGAGCATCGATCCATGCAACTGGGATCGATGACATGCATCAACCAATTCAGCGAGCCTGACCACCCGATCCCGTTAGTCGCCTCTTACGACAAGCATAGTCGCCTTTTGCGGCAAGCATGGGTTGCTGAAGACCTATTCTACCCCGGATCTTTACGGGTCTGCAACGTCAGTAGTTTCTGTGAGAGTTGTCCCCATTTCACACAGTGTGCACTTAACTGAAAAGCATGGAGCAAGTGCCATACCTCTGACAAAAATGAATGTACACCATCAATTTTCGACCTCAAGCTGAAAAGCAGTGAGCAAGGGCAATAACCCCGCACAAAAATATTTGAAGGGACCAATTTTCGAACTCAAGTCTTGACAAGTATCTCCTACATAAGCATGAAAACTTTCATTCAGGTAACTTCAGTAGTTTCTGAGCCAATGTCCCCTGTAGTGGTCAAAATTTCACCCGTTTTCATTTAGCTTCTAAAAGGGTATATTCATTTGTCGTTTCTTTTAAGTTTGCAATTTGTAATATTCCCATTTCGTTTAAAGTTCTAAAATTTGTATTAACTCGTCTTAAGCTACCCTTCCAAATATATAACAAGGGGATGTCAATGCTCTGGAGTAAGGTTTTCAAGCCATGTGGTCTGAGAAGGCATATGTCCAAGACACCAAGTCAAAATGTATTGTCTAAAACAATGGTAAGCCAGTTTAACAATTTCACACCAAGCCTCAAGCAATTACTGTAAATGCAATGTTACATTATATATATGACGCTAAACTTGAAGTAATTCTCTGGTGTGTAGAACGGATAATTGTTTCACCGTGTGTGTGTTAGTTCATCTGTAGAAGCTCACCTTACCATACTTGCCCATCAAGTTCAAATGTGAGCCTAGTTCTCTTTAAGTTAATTATCGTTTAAAACGTATAGACATCTAATTGGGTTTTTCAATCTGTATTCTGTAAAAGAGCAAAATGAAAATAGATAAGAAAGAATGAAAGAAACCAGAATAAAGAATTAAGAGCACGGTGTGCACTAAACTGAAGAGCATGGAGCAAGGGCTATACCTCTGCAAAAAATGAATGTACGCCACCAACCTTTGACCTCATTTGAGATCGTGAACAGTAACATCGGAGTGTAAAATTATTTCGAGGGAACAACAGTTAAAAGGTTTTTAAAGATATATTTATTCAAAAGCAAGGAGCAGGTTAAAATAATAACGACATGCACTAAATTTCATCATTCTTGTTTTTCATATCCGTCGAAAACAGTTCCTGTTTGCCGAAGAAGGCGACAGTGACATTTGTCACGTTCAACTGAAAAAATCCAACTTTCTTATACAACTAAAACCGTGTGACAGATGAGGTATGCCCTCTTGTTAAAATATAGGACATCTGTCCATTTAGGTCCGCCTCAAAGTGATTGTTTATTCATTTCGGGACACAGTCTAAGGGACAATTAGGTTAGCTTATGAAATAATTTAGCACTGAAAACGAGGTGTTGCCATAACCTGGACAGGAGGATGGGCTTTTACAACTGTACCAATGAGGGGAATCGAACTTGGGTCCTCGGTTTAATAATCACTCATCCCTGGGCTATATGGTGGAGATTTACTCGGAGATCGCTACAAAAGACGTACTTCTTGTCTGTAGTGGGAGGGGTCGACCAAAGAGAATGTGTTCACATGGATTTTAACTAAAATTGGGTCTTTCCCTGAACCACGAAAGACGTCAGCTGCACCACGTCGGCCTGCAACTACAAGACGGCCTGCAACTACACCACGACGGCCATTTTGGAGGTCGGCAACTGCATCACGACATCCGCCTGTCAGTACACCTAGACGGACTACAACTGAACCACGATGGTCTGTTACAACATCATGACGTTATGTAACTTCATAATTACCGTATGCAACTACATCATGACGGCTTGCAACTTGGGTCCTCGGTTTATTAATCATTCATCCCTGGGCTATTTGTTGGCGGGGATGTCTTCTCGGAGACTGCTTCAGAAGACGTACTTCTTGCCCGTGGGAGGAGTCGACCAATGGGAGCGAGTTCAAATGGATTAACTGAAATGGGGAGTTTCCCTGAACCACAACTGATGTCAACTACCCCAAGACGTACTACAGCTGCACCACGACGGCCAGTAACTACATCATGACAATGTGCAACTGCACTATGATGGTCTGAAACAACATCTTGACGGTCTGCAACTAAACCACGCAGTCTGCAACTGCACCACGACTGACGTCAACTACACCACGATGAATTGCAACTACATCATGACGGCTTGGAACTGTGCCATGGCAGCCAAGAACTGCAGCACGACTGACGTCAACTACACCGCGACGGTCTGTATCATCATCATGACGTTCTCTAACTCCATAATGACCTGATACAACTACACCACGATGCATTGCAACTACATCATGACGGCTTGCAACTGTGCCATGGCAGCAAAGAGCTGCACCACGACTGACGTCAACTACATCACGACGTCCTGCATAAAGTACCACGGATTTTCCGACACTATAAACACCTGGGACCTGAAGAAGACAATGAATTATTGTTCGATCTGTTATCTTTTTTCCCATAGATCATTATATTGCTAATACAGTGAATGTCTAACAAGGTATGTATCCCTTTCTTCCAGACAGTGTTTTTACTCTGACACAATGTTAAATCGTCCTTGCACCTATATCATGAGACTTGTCTTGAACAATTACTGCCCGGAATGTTCTTTATATTTTGTGAGATCAAAGCCGAGTTCCCTAAATATTAGTGAGTGGGTGAGTTGGGTTTAACACCGCATTTTAACATTATTCCAGTTATATCACGGTTTGTCAGCTTAATGTGGGAAGAAAGCCAGCAGAGATGCAGGTCTCAGACGTTTACCACTTCGGTGAAACCCACGAGCGAGGCTATGGTGCTGAAAAACCTAGAAACATAATCGGGGCGAACAGCCACAACTTCATACAGTCAATATTTCAATATCACCAACCACTGACACGTGCGAACTAGTTATTTGGTAAGTCCTCAAAGAATATTGAATTCACTCATATAGATGTGCGCGTGATAATTATGGACATTGCACAATAGGAGCCGAGAAACACAATCACACGTGCGCCCCATATGTGCACGTGCATAATGAAATTGACAAGATGTCTCATCTATTTTTGTTATCAAAATGATTTATTAAAACATCTACAATGTACTTCTGTTTAACTGCTATGCTCTGTAAATATTTCTTTTGACGCTGGTAACATTAATGATGAATTTAATATCATCTCTTCTTTTTCACCGACAACATCAAACACTGAGTAACAGCTGACACGAGATTGCGCGTGAATGGTGACAACGTGTGTGAATACGCGTGCAGCACGCGCTTTGCTTTGTGATGGTAATGATATGATTTCGAACAGTTGACGCGCGTGCAGTACGTGTTTATTCTGTTGTTCCGTCGTGACAATGACAGACATTCGATACTGTGTTTCTCAATGTTAAAAAATACGGGATATATTAGATTCTCATTCTGTTAAATTGAATTGAACAAGGTTCTGTTAATTAAGACAAGCACTGGCATTGTGGCACATGGGAATAGTTGAGGTGCGTGTGAGTGCAACGCTTACGCGCACTCAAACAAGCCGGACCAATGTTTTTGTCTCGCATATCATACAGTTAGGGGGCAACCATTTCATTTTCAGTGTGTGTGTGTGTGTGTCGTGTGTGTGTGTGTGTGGGGGGGGGGGGGGTGGGGGGTGTGTGTGTGTGTGAAGAGAGGGAGGATGTGGGGGGGGGGGGGGGGGGAGGGAGGAGGGATGTGTACGGGGGGGGTGTGTGTGTGTGTGGGGGGGGATATGTACGGGGACGGTGGTGGGGTCGGGGTTGGGAGTGGTG